ACTCTCTCTCTCTCTCTCTCTCTCTCTCTCTCTCGCTCTCGCTCTAACTCTAAAAAGTACAATACCATAATTCTCAAGAAAACAACAACAAACACAAATATAAACAACAATGACAATGAAAGTATATGATATAGTGCAAGTCCCGCTGGAAAACAATCTTTACGATTTTATTTTTTTACTTGATCCTGACTGGCCCTTTTAGTTATTTTAACTGTCCTAAGCATGCTCAGCTCCCTGGGAAGCATTCCGTGTGAACTGCCATTTGACAAGAGCTCAGACACAAACATAGTGACGGGATCTTCAATATTGGCATTAAGTTGGGCATACATTTTCACCTGAACTAGATCTATAGCTTGTAACAAAATTGTTGCCGAATGTGTTGGTTCATCTAAAAAAAATAGGAGGTTTACAATTTGTCCAACTTTCAGCACATGATAACTGTAAAACTTGTATTGAATTAGTAATGATATATAGAATCTAGTATCTAGGAATGACAGTGAACCAGAGCACCTTTTTACAAATATTATACATAAATGTATTATAATTTAAGCAAGCAATATGTATTATTCATCATAAAACTTTGATTGCCATGGCCATGGCTAAACCAACTTTGGACCCCTCATTTTTTTAAAATCTCTCCCCGCACCTGATATAATACATTTTTAACGTTTGAGGAAAGCGTAATGTGTTTTTGTCTTTTCTGACAAATGTAAACATTTTATTACATGTACGGCTTTGGCGACTCTGTGTATTGTCAAAACTGTCGTGAAAATCGTGAGTAGTGTTTTCACAACTGCTGTTTTCTCTAGCTAATCTAGGTAAACAATCACTTTTGTTCCACACGAACACATGTGTCCGCCCAGTGAACAAGAGAACGGTACTGTGATCTGTCAGTCATTATCAAGAGTCATAGGCGTGTACGCTTTTTATCCATTTGGGCTGTGTGGTTTTAATATTTTTAATTGTTAACTTCCTGAATAACATATTGTGATGAAGATGAAGTCTAAGTTAAAACTGAAATTCTTTACTCACAAGAACATTGCTCTGAAAGTAGGCCCTATATAACTATTTCACTTGTGAGAAAAATCGTGATCGTCTAAATCGTTCAATTTCTGATCCATTTAGCAGAACTAAACATTTGCTTGATTTAAGTGACAGGACATTGAACAGATGGATATCGGAGGAAAATTCAGCCGAAGACGTCGAGGAGACAAAGAGAGGCCGACCTGTTAAATGTGATACCTTTGACAGAGATCTCGTGGGACGCGCTATTGGAAAGATGTAATTAGGTGATAACCAGTACGTCACATTTAGAAAACTTAGGTCTTATTTGAAAAGCAATCACGATTTTGGATATCAACAAACAGACTTTAAGGCGCATTGTGAAGAGTCTAGGTTTCAGTTTCAAGAAGACAAAAACATCCAAAGACGCAATTTGTGAGTCAAAGAACATGGTTGCACTGAGGGGGAAGTACCCACGAAAATTAAAACAGCTTAGAGAAGACAACGTTGGCATTTATTTTCTTGATGAGTCCTACATCAATGCCCACCACACGTGCACCAAAGAATGGCAATCTGACACCCAACAGAGATTCATTCCGACTGGAAAAGGTAAATACGTCTTATAATTGCACATATCGGAAGCCATGAGAGAGGACTAGTGAATAATTGTGAGCTGGTTTCTGAGTCAAAGTCGAAAGATGAAAATGGCGACTATCACAAAGACATGGATAGTAACTAGTTTGAAAACTGGATTAGTAACATTGTGGTGACTGCATTAGATATAAAAAAAACCATGCCTGGTTATGGACAATGCATCATATCATAATGTAACTAATCCTGATGATAAAGTCCCTACAAAATCTATGAACAAAGGTCCTATAATAGCCTGGCTTGATAAGCATGGGATCGATCACAGTACAGCGAAAACTAAAAAGGATCTCCTAGACATTGTGAGCGCCAGCGAACAGAGCCAGATAGAAGTTTTTCGAGTGGACAAGTACCTGGAAGAACATGGTAACATACCTCTTAGGCTCCCTCCTTACCACCCTCAGCTCTACACTATTGAATTAATCTGGGCTGAGATGAAGAAAAATGTTGCTTTGGCAAATACAACATTTAAACTCCATGACGTTAAGCGACAAACAAAGCAGGTCTAATCAAGTATAACCAGAGAATTTTGGCAAAAGTGTGAGGGCCATGTCAAAGCAACAGAGGAAAGATAATGGATAAATGATGGATTAACCTGATTGACGATACATTTGATTCTGAATAATTGGTGAGTGTTAAAATATGTTTAAATGTGTCCCGTAAATCTGTCACTATATCTCTCTACGTGTGTCTGTCTGTCTGTGTAACCATCAATGTCGCTTCAGATAATGGTTAGGAAATTTGTTCAGAACTGGCGACGCCTATGAACATCCGAGAAACTAGCAATTTGTCCAACTTTCAGCACGTGATAACTGTCAAACTTGTATTGAATTAGTAATGATACATCGTAAGAAATTAACCAGTCTCAATTTCGGAAAATTGATAGTATAGCATTTCCCAGTGGATGAGATGGACATTAAGCTCTTCTCAAAATATGAAGGTGATCGGTTGGGTAGTCTTTGAGATATCCTGCGTCAAACATCGGCAATATTTTTGTTACAAGCTATAGAAAAGGAAACTGGAGGAAATTGTCTCTTCCAAGGGCACGACGTTGGGACAGGCCGGGATCTGAACCCATACCTTTATGGTTGTGTGTCCGACAGCCAAACACTAGACCTCTGATGCCACAGTAAACAATAACATAATGCGACATCAATACTATCACCACCATCACCAACAACAGCAACAACAGCAGCAGCAGCAACAACAACAACAACAAAACAACAACAGCAACAATAACAACAACCGTACAACAACAACAACAACAACAACAACACCAACAACAGCCAACATGGCAAAAGAATACATACCAATGGCTACAGCAACAGCACAGTTAAAACAATGATAAGGTAACATTTACATCGGCAACACAAAAAGCAACACCGTTGTCAACGCAAGCAGCAGAAATGAGTAAGGCAATAGAACTGTGGTAGCCTATTGGTATGACAAAATTGACCAAAAACCTAAAAAGAAAAGAGAATTTTAAGAAATTGCGAGCTATGACGGCGATGCTAGATAATAATATGGCCTATATAAGTAATACAAAAAGAAATTTACTTGACTACGTTGTTTTGAGATGATTATTAATGTGTATAAAAGTGGTCGTCAGCGAGAAATCACTACACTTACTTTACAAAACACAGATAAATGAATTCTATTAATTAAGAAAGTTAAAATCTAATCATTATTATCATCAACTAGATATCAATCAATGGGAACCAGAAATCTCAATCCAGTCATACCTGCTCTTTGAAGAAATTCGTAGCAACAAATCCAAAAGCTATGTTTACATAACAGGATACTGTCAAAGCACAAGGTTATGAAACACCAGGTCTTGAGCTTTTTAGTATAGATCTAGATCTAGATCTAGATCAAATCAAACTTCCACATCAAATTATATTCACATTTGTTGCAAACATTAGTAGGCTACAAAACAAATACTTACTCTAAACTACTGTAAGCCTATCGAACAGCTAGTCCAGTGACGAGACAGGGCGTAGCCAAACTATCCTTCAAGGAATCACGATTTCAATATGTCGCTTCGCTTTGAAAGAAAGAAATATATCTCCTTCTCGTCTTTGCCTCAAACTTCCCCCTGCACACTCCTATGCTCTATGCGAATTCTTCCGTGAACAGCGACGTCGCCTGGGCCTAGGCCTACATAAAACTTTGACGTCTTACCATTGAAAAACCTCTCGCACTTAAAAAGAGGGTAGGGAAGGGCCTGTATTGGAAATGCATTGCTGAGAGGGGGAGGGTCATGGGGCTTTTGGGGGACTGTGAAAGCGGGTGGACGGCGTGGGTCGTGTGTGGGTAGTGGTGTATCTCTCTCTCTCTTTCTCTCTCTCTCTCTCTCTCTCTCTCTCTCTCTCTTTCTCTCTCTCTTCTCTCTCTCTCTCACTCTCGCTCCCTCCTCTCTCTCCCTCCTCCCCCCCCTCTCTCTCTCTCTCTCTCTCTCTCTCTCTCTCTCTTTGTTTCTTTCTTTACCTCTTTCCCACGTTCCCCTTTTCTATCCTCCTCCCCTCACCCAAGATGGCGGGAGAGAAACAAGAAAAATAAAATGTAGATCTAGCTTTGAACAAATTACATGGATGCATGCATGAGCTTACTAACAGAAAGATGCATGCATGAGCTTACTAACAGAAAGATGATCTCTAAAATGACCTCCTAAATCTGAGGACAGACAGACAGACAGACAGACAGACAGACAGACAGACAGACAGACAGACAGACAGACAGACTACGAGGAGAAAAACAAAAAGTAGAAATTGATGTCATTGCTTGTGCAACCGCAATCCTAACTTCGCACCAAAATATTACAGGGTCTTGAGCAAATAATAACCATACCTCTCTCGTTCCTTTTATCGGCGCTACAAAGGGAATGCTAAGGCCTTTTCCATTCGCACAGAGGTTGAAAGCCTTGTGTTATGTTCGTATTCAGGCGAGAATTCGAGCTTTCTTTATGCAAAGTGGGTGGGGCTGTTCTAAAAGTTGCAATGGTTCACCAAACATGGGTGGATCAGTCCGCAAGGCTTTTTAAGGCCAGCAAGGCGAATATAGCAAATATATTATGTTCTATAATTTTTATTTCTGTATCTTGGGCGTAGTTGAACAGCGGCTGACGTAATGTTTTCCCCACATCCATGTTGTACTTTGACTTTGAGGTTATTTTAAGCCTCTTGTCGTTTAGGTTTAGATTATGAAGTCGGTTATTATATGTGAGATGTTGAATTTAGAATGAAACTCTTATTTCCTAGCTAATACGACAGAGGAAAGAAAAGTGTATTTCAAATATTCATATTTAATAACTTTAGAAATTTCCACATCAGGAAGGTGGATTTGAACATGAGTCGTCTGCGCTGTTCTCAGACAAAAGAGAGACAAAAGAGTGGGGTATATATGTGAAATAACATATGTAGCTACTGTCTCAACCTTGGACGAAAGGGCGATATAATAACCCTTATATTATTCTCATTAAAAGATATTACTGTTATAACTCAACATTATTATATTACTGACTACATGCAATATTATCACACGTTCTCTTTGTGTCTCGTTTAACCCCCCCCCCCTCTCTCTCTCTCTCTCTCTCTCTCTCTCTCTCTCTCTCTCTCTCTCTCTCTCTCTCTCTATCTATCTATCTATCTATCTATCTATCTATCTATCTATCTATCTATCTATCTATCTATCTATCTAATATATATATCTCACCTACCATTACTTTCGTCCGGAAAACACCAAATGGACAACTTGTCAACCTCATTACACCGAATCAAAGTGGCGAATCTCTCTGAATTTTTGCATGCGCGTCTGAATTCTAAAAGACCTGAAAAATCTAGATATAAAGAGGTGCTGTCTATATAATAATTAATAATTAATTGCTCATTAAATTCAACTCCGCACACTTTTTATAGCCCTTAGATCAGCCTCTGACAATCTAATTCTTAAAACTCCAAAACAAAATTACAAAACATACGGCGAGCGTTCCTTTCTGTTCTTTGGTCCCCAGGTATGGAACGAACTCCCATATAAAAAAAGATCTGCCCCAACAATTTCCATTTTCAAAAATCAGCTGAAGCATTTTTTATTCACAAAAGCATACCTGTCATAATGATGTACTGTGATATATATGCATGTGTATGCCAGACTGTGAGACTGAAGAAATAGCGAGTGAGAATGAGAGAGAGAGAAAAAGAGAGAGATAGAGAGAGAAAAGAGAGAGAAAAGAGAGAGAGAGAGAGAGAGAGCGAGAGAGGGAGAGAGAAAGAGAGAGAGAGGGAGAGAGAGGGAGAGGGAGAGAGAGAGAGGGAGAGAGAGACAGAGAGACACAGAGAGAGAGAGAGAGAGAGAGAGAGAGAAAGAGAGAGAGAGAGAACGGAAATGTTTTTCTATCTGTATAGAATTAATGTTTTAATGAATGTTTCTAGTTACTCACGTTTCAACTTTATTTTGACTGTTCGTGAATTTTTATTGCATTGTATATTTTTAGTGAACACATTTTCAACCTCACTGCGAGACTGTTTTTCTGGTATAAAATTTTACATATATGCATTTATATTATATGTATAATAATACTTTGTTTTACGTACACATTTGTGTCGATTAATTTTTAAGATGTGATGTCTTTTTCATTGTAATGCGCATTGAGCATCTTTTAGGAAATGGAAATGCGCAGTATAAATGCTATTTATCATTATTATTATTAACTCAAAATTTACAATCTTTGTTCCTTTAATCAAAGTTTTTCAGAAAAATCCAGACAAAAATGAGTTCTTTAATGGGCATGAGAGGTGTTGAGCCAAAAAAAAAAATTCACAAAAATTCACAAACCTGCGGAAAAATGCAAGTTTGTTCACTTTGATTATTTTGACGAGAGCCTGATTCCACCAGGCTGCCTCACCATTATAGAAAACGCCTTTTTATATTTGTCGCATATGCACGAAAATCGAGATTTGTATGTGGGGTTGTTTGGTGTGTTTTTTTTTACCCATTTAGCGTACTTAAACCCATTGCGAAATAATGGGGTGGAGGGGGGGGGGGCAACAGAAGTGCAATTTTTTTTCCAAATGTTGATTATAAACCATGTTCTACTTTTCATCAAATTTAATTGACAAAACAATCATACCCCACTACAATTCTGCAAAATGTGGTATATTTCTGATTAACAATTTTAACCATCACCAGACTATTCTTTCTTTTAAAAAAAGGGGGGGGGGGCTGCAGTTTTAAAACATATAAGAAAAGCATAACATGAAAAGAACAAATAATCTAACTGGTTAGGATCCACGGGATTTGGCCTTCAGGTGCCACCCGTTATATCTCTCAAGTAGGCTTTGAGAACAAACACAAACGACAAAACAAAACAAAAACAAAAATACCTCAAATACCTACACCAATGATAACACAATGGCCGACATTTGAGAACCATTCAAATATTGCATTCAAGTTATATATGGGTTGCAAGACATTTTACAGTACATTGCCCACATCAGATAATACAGGAAACACCAAGGACTGATACATTACATTATGTGTCATGCCTTTTCAGATTACCTCTAGCCAGAAGTAGTGCAGGGCGGCTAGGTTCGCGATTATTGAAAGCTACGAATCGTAGAAATCGACTCCGAACACAATTACTTACTTTCTAATGATATAATTTCTTCCGGTGGTTACCTGTTTGGCTCAAAACATCTTCAAGATTTGGGATGACCTTGATTTCGGAAGATAACAAACCAACAACTTCATTTTATTTTTCTTTATCGGCCGTTTTCTCAAAACGCGACTTTTCTCTATACTTTTTTTTAATCACTCCACCATTTTTCATCTAATCTTCATGAAGTTTTCACAAAATGAAGAGAAGATGTAATACTAAAAATGTGTCAGTTGAACTTTTTATGTATGGAATAGATTTTTGTTGATGGTGTCTGGAGCGTGGATTTTCACGGATTTTTCGCAAACTTGAATGCTACCTCAGAAAAAAATTCATTAAAAATTTTCTAATTCGTTTAGGAAAAAAACAACAGACAAATTTTTAGATCTGATGTTTGTGAACCCGCATGCAAAAAAACAATCAATTTCCAAGAGCGATAAGTGCGGTATTCATTACCTAAGACATGTCAACAAAATCCAACATAGCCGCTGTATCCATGGAAACGAATTTTTTTATCAAATTAGATTGCGGATTGTAAGACTTCTTACTATGCTTGTTATATGTGTGAAATTTGGTAAAATTCGGCCTCGTAATAAGCGAGATAGCCTTCAAGTGTAGCCCC